AGACTGAGAGAGAGAGAGAAACACTAATTTGTTGTTCCACTTGTTTATGTATTCATTGGTTGCTGCTTGTATGTGTCCTGACTGATCGAACCAACAATCTTGGTATATGGGGATGATGCTCTAACCAACTGAGCTATACAACTGGTACTTTGTTATATGTTATTTTGCTTAAAGTCACAGAATCTATCAACGGTAAGTGAGAATTTACTATATTATATGCACGCACACACACAAAAAAACCCCACAAAAACACTCACATATGCAAATATAGTTATTTGTGTTTTATAGGTGCTACTCAGTTGTGAGCTGATTGAAGGCGAGGGACTGTTTTCCATCATATATTTAATAAATGTTGCATAAATGAATTTAAAGTGTTTATTTTTTATACTCCATTTTGACATTTTTCTGTATATTTATACTGTATCTTATGTATTCAGTATCCAGTTCTAAAGTGTATCTTATTGAAATTTAGGTTTTATGGTTATTGAGATAATAACAGTTGTGTTGTACACTATCAGCAGTGTTAAAAATGCAAAATAAGTAAAATTTGCTAGCCTTTGGAGAACGGGAGTGGGATGCAATTCACTTAATAAACCTATTTTTTCTGGTGTTCTTAGGACAGAATACAAAATAACCCTATATAATAAAAGGCTAATATGCAAATTGACCGAACAGTGGAACAACCAGTCGCTATGACGTGCACTGACCACCATGGGGCAGACATTCAATGCAGGAGCTGCCCCCTGGTGATCAGTACGCTCCCACAGGGGGAGCGTTGCTCAGCCAGAAGCCCTGAGCCAGGCTCACGGCTGGTAAGTGCAGCAGCGGTGGCGGGAGCATCTTCCATTTCCATGGCAGTCGGACATCCCCCGAGGGCTCCTGGGCTGCGAGAGGGTGCAGGCCAGGCTGAGGGAACACTACACACACACACACACACACTCACACTCACACCCCGAGTGCACCAGTTCGGTAGTACTTAATAATTCCTGTTGGGAAGTAGCAGAATTCTGAGTTGTTATTAAACTTAAAATGTTTAGTCATCTAAGATATGTCATGGGTTGGTTCTTTTCAGAAAAAATGTTCTGAAGAATGATATTTAACCCTGCCAGGTAGCCCAGTTGGTTAGGGCGTCGTCCTCATATGTCAAGGTTGCGGGTTCAATCCCCAGTAAGGGCATGTACAAGAAGCAACCAATGAATGCATAAATAAGTGGAACAACAAATAGATGTCTCTCTGCCTCCCTCCCTCTGTCCCTGCCTCTCTCCTTCCTCCCTCCCCTCTCTCTAAAATCAGTCAATAAATAAAATGTTTAAAGTATGATTTTTATTGCCAAATATTTACCTGGAGTTTATTTCAAGGGAAGATGTGGAATTTCTTCCATGATACTTCTAGCAATATATGGAAATGAGGTTGCTTTCCAGGACTGACATTCATATTTCCCCTGCAAAAAGGGTGACTTTGAGCAGATCTTTGGTTGTTGAGGAGACTCGTTTGTTTTAAATAGTTATTTTTTTAAAAAAAAAAACCTCCCTTTTTAAGTTTTTTTCTCCTGTGTTCTACGAACATTTTACTTTGAAAATGTTTTAAACTATAGTAAAGTTGAAAGAACGACACAATGGACTCTGATAGATTATTAACAAGTTTCACATTTGCTCTATACATACATACATGCACACATATCCTTTATGCTGAACCCTTTGAAAGTAAATGTTGGCCATTTCAACACCTCACCCCTGGATACTTTAAGTCTCTTGAGAACAAGGGCATTCTACTGACTGACTACAGTAGCAGTTGTCACTAGTAAGAAATTTAACATTGATACAATAGTATCTATACATGCCATATTCAAATTCCTCCGTCTGCTTTTTCTTTTTTTAAAAATATATTTTATTGGTTTTTTAGAGAGAGGAAGGGAGAGAGATAGAGAGTTAGAAACATCGATGAGAGAGAAACATCGATCAGCTGCCTCCTGCACATCTCCTGCACATCCTGCGGGGATGTGCCCGCAACCAAGGTACATGGCCTTGACCAGAATCGAACCTGGGACCTTTCGGTCTGCAAGCTGACGCTCTATCCACTGAGCCAAACTGGTTAGGGCTGCTTTTTCTTTTATAGCTATTCATTTCAGGATCCAAAGATCACACATAGCATTGGTTGTCTTATTTCATTAGTCCCCTGCCTTTTTTTACGGTTCCTAACTGACATATTTGAACAACCCAATATAGAAGGCATACAATGTAAGCTTGTTTCATTATTAGTGACCAGAGGCCCTGTGCATGAAAATTCATGCACTTGGGGGGGGGGGCGTCTCTCAGCCTGGCCTGTGCCCTCTCCCAGTCTGGGACCCCTCAGAGGGGATGTCTGCAGTTGGACATCCCTCTCGCATTCTGGGAGCCCTCGCTCCTTACTGCTCTGCTCGCTGCTCCTTAGCACTGCTGTGGAGGCAGGAGAGGCTCCTGCCACTCATGGTTCCCACAGCCAGAAGGAGCCACCATGGCCTGGCTCAGGGCTTCTGTGGGAGCACACTGACCACCAGGGGGCAGCTCCTGAGCACCCGCCGCCTGGTCGTCAGTGCCCATCCTAGCAACCGGTCCTTCTGCCAGTTGGTTCATTTGCATATTACCCTTTTATTATATAGGACCTTTATTAAATAGGATACTAAGTTCAATTACCTGGTTAAGGTGGTGACTGCCAGATTTTTCCATTTGAGAAGAAACTTTTCCCCCCTTGAGATTAATGATCTATAGGGTGATAATTTGAGATCGTGTGAATATCTTGTTCCCCAAAAACCAGTTTATCAGTGGTTTAGGCATCCATTGATGAGCCTGGCCTGAATCCATTACTACTAACTACATTGCAGAGTAGTGATTTTCTAATTATGTGATTTCTTTTACATTTATTAGCTGACATTCTTATTGATATAAAGAATAGTTCCCCTTCCTGTTCATTCATTAATTCTTCCATTTTAATAGACTACTTTTAAGAGCAATTTTGGATTCACAGCAAGCAAGATTGAACAGAAATTACACAGTTCCTATATAAACCCTGCCCTTGCACATGCACAGCTCCCCCCCCCCCCCCCCCCCCGTTTGCAGAATAGTAGTACATTTGTTACAATCAATGAACTTCTATATTCATAGCGTCGTTATCTACATTCGTCATGTCATTATCACCCAAAGTCCAGTTACATTAGGGTTCACTTTTAGTGTTGTACATTCTATGGGTTTGGACAAATGTATAATGACCCCACTTATTTTTATATTATCTGCAAAACATTAACCTCAGGTTGTAGGTGGTGGTGATAATGGTACTTGTTACTCTCTCTATATATATACTGTGTGCTAAGCAGGGTTTTAATTTTAAGCACCTTATATTTGTTATGTTTTCAATAACTCAAGGTCTTTATTAGTATTAACCCAATTTTACAAATAAATAAATGCTTAGAGAACGTGAGTTTAGATCATATGGCTAGTAAGCAGCAGAGCTGAGATTTAAACTGATACTCTGCAAATTGCCAATGATGAGATACAATCAAGGTCCAGCCTTCGCCACTTCTTAGCTCTGTAGCCAAGGACAAGTAAGCCACTCTGGTTATATCTGAGGAAATGACATTGAGGTTTAAATGGATAAATAATATGCACCACACATTTGAGGACCCAGTGAAGTAATTCATGGGAAGTAGAGATTACATGTACATAGATTTTACTGCACAAAATCTAAAATTTTTATTAGAATGTTATTCAAAATGAGACAGTGGCAAGAATTATATTGTAAATGCATTAAACTTCAGCAGCTTCAGTACAACACAATGACTCGGGACAGTCTACTTTTAGTATGTATTTATTATTGGGTGTGAGGGAGGGCATTTGATTTTTTTAGGAGATAAACATTTTGCAAATGCTGATTCTAAGTGAATATGAAAGAACCATAGGAGCATATGTTCTATTTGGATTTGATTTTTCCAGAGAAATGTATGTTTACATAGATTCTGTGATTCTGAGGACATTTCTATCACTAAAAAAACAGGCACTTTTTTAATAAATAATATTAGGAATGCTCTTACAATTTCCAGGTGGTGTAATTGTACATTAGAGTGGAATGTGTAGCTGGCTGGACGGCATTTTTATTTTTCCTGATCTGGGACAGGAATACATGGGCAGACTTGAATGCTGTCTGTTTCCCCTCCTAGGTCTCGCGGCACTGCTGGTGGCCATGGTTCCCGCACCCAGAAGGAGCTGCCCACAGAGCCCCCCTACACAGCGTATGTCGGAAATCTACCTTTTAATACGGTTCAAGGCGACATAGATGCTATATTTAAGGATCTCAGCATAAGGAGCGTACGACTAGTCAGAGACAAAGACACAGACAAATTCAAAGGTGAGTTTGGGGAAATTCTTATTTTCCATTATTGTAAGGGGGGAGGGTCTGAACCAGAATGTTTTAGTGAACCGCAGGGCTCTAATTATGAAAGTGATTTAAATGTTTGCTTGGTCCAAGTAACTGCAATAAACATTGCACTTTGACTCATGGGCGTTCAGTTCTACTTGGGGAGAAATGTTTTATACATCGTCTAGTTTGTAGAAATTGTGGCATATATCCAAGTAAACCTGCTATTTCTTTGCCTGACCTATATAGCAGTCTTGTCTGACACTAAAGAAGTTAATGGAAAGAAGTGAACAAAAATATCTGAGGATTTTTCAGGTGTATTTCACCTTAGCCAACTTGTGCATTTTTCTTGGTAGTTTTCCTATAATTCAGTTTTTATTATAAATTCCAGAAGATAACCTAATAAGTGTTACTATCACTGTACATTTGTAACTTCAGAGTATGTGTTTGGGAGAGGGTTGAGTCAAATTTCAGATGGAGTTAGTGTCTATAGATTAGTATCTTAAGAGTAATTGAGCAGAGGAGTAAGAATGAAGAATCAAATGACATCATCATCTAGCTTTCAAGGTTGCCTGAAGGGAAATGTGCCCAGTAGTTAAGTGCCTGGTGCAAGGCATAAGGGCATTTGGTTTACATTATTTATCCAGAAGTGTGTCCATGAAAAGTAGAGTCACTGTGGTGACTTACAGTGGGGAGCTGTACGAGAAGCAGAGGTGTTGCTCATCGGAGTGGTTCTGTATGTAGTGGTACTTTTTTACCTTTTTGAAAGCTTTTGACTTTAGAACCTGAAGCTTTGTTACCGAGTGATTAAACACCGAAAACAAATTAAACTTCTGTAAGTCCCACCTAGTTTGCTTGCTAAAAAGCATTTAGGAATTCGAAGTTAAGATAAAAATGTGTAGGTGAAGTCCTAACCGGTTTGGCTCAGTGGATAGAGCGTCGACCTGCGGACTGAAAGGTCCCAGGTTCGATTCCGGTCAAGGGCATGTACCTTGGTTGTGGGCACATCGCCAGTAGGGGGTGTGCAGGAGGCAGCTGATCAATGTTTCTCTCCCATTGATGTTTCTAACTCTCTATCCTTCTCCTTCCTCTCTGTAAAAAATCAATAAAATATATTTTTTTAAAAAATGTGTAGGTGAAGCCAACCTTTGGGATGCGTCAGTAGCAGCAGCAGCAGGTTTTAGATGGTCTCATAGCAAATCACCTTCCATTTTAGCAGCTCTAGGGTGTGAGGTGTGTGACTGGGCTGGGGTTGCCTCTTTGAACTTTGGAGTGGTTTTCTCAATTTCTCTAAACATTGAATCTACTTAGGGAAGAAGGTGGGAGGGCAGGGGATACTTTCCAGCCAAGCAGAACATTCTCAGTGTAAGTACTTACTGAGCAAATGGAGAACAGGAATCATTTGGACCCAGGCCTTCAAAGCACTTGCAGTCTAGTGGGCTTTGAAGGTAAAATTTAATCATCACACAAGATCAGGATACTCCGGCAGGAGTCGGGGTGTGCGGGGTACAGTGTGAGCATATTACAGCACGGAAAGGACTTAGCCCAGATGTAGTCTCCGGGTGCAAGGAAAGAACATGGACAAGAGTGCTGCACGTAAAAAGAAAGGCTTATCAGAGGTTTTATACCAGCTAAGTAGTAGGCACCTTCAGCCTCTCCTTCAGAGCATATCAGTATCAACTTTGAAATCTGTCTTAAAACCCCAATCACGGTATATCAAAGTCATTCAGAAGTCAGACCCAACAACTCTGCCGTGATCCAAGAAAGGTTTTAATATTATGGTTAAAACATATGAGAGCTTTATAAAAACACAGTTATTTTAGTACCTGTTTGATTAGTACTTTCTAAAAAAATATAACAGAGGGAAGAATAACAATCAAGTTCTATTTCTTTATTTAAATATATTTTTATTGACTTCAGAGAGGAAAGGAGAGGGAGGGAGAGATAGAAACATCAATGATGAGAGAATCATTGATCAGCTGCCTCCTTTGGGGATCAAGCCCATTACCCTGGGCAAATGCCCTGACTGGGAATCGAACCATGACATCCTGGTTCATAGGTCAGTGCTCAACCACTGGTCCATGCTGGTGGGCAAGCTCTGTTTATTAAAAAGTAAAAATGTTCATTCAGGCTCTACTAGTCTGCAGTCATATAAATGCAACAGAAGTGGTAGTTCTGATGTGGGCAAGTTGTACAAAATAGGGATCCCATCATAGTTTTAACCCATAATTTCTTGAGAAAATGGAAGTTTTTTCTCTCTTACAGGATTCTGCTATGTAGAATTTGATGAGGTGGATTCCCTTAAGGAAGCCTTGACATACGATGGCGCAGTAAGTATGTTCAGGTTTTCTCTGTTGTGTTGCTAATAGTTGAGTTTTTTTCTTGCTAATACTTACACTGTTTTCCCCTTATAATTAGCTGTTGGGTGATCGGTCACTTCGTGTGGACATTGCAGAAGGCAGAAAACAAGATAAAGGTGGCTTTGGATTCAGGAAAGGTGGACCAGATGACAGAGGTGATTGGTTCTTCTAAAACTGAACATAACAACTTACTGGTTACAACTCTGGAAGGTTACTAGTAGAACTCTGTCTTATAGGTCTGATAGATTTTTGTGAGCTTTTATAAACATAAAATCTTGAATAAATGATGCTTCTGCAAGCCTGGGGTTGTTTTTCCTGTTGGCAGCAAAAACTCTTTAATTTTGTTGAACTTCCCATCACGAGTTGTACATCATCCCAGTGAATTTTTCCATGTGTGTGCAGCAAGGTAATGATCCGACCTCAACTTTATCTTTTTTGTGTGTCCTCAGGAATGGGTGGCCCTCGAGAATCTAGAGGTGCATGGGAGTCCCGGGATGACTTCAATTCCGGTATCAGTATTTAAAGTATCACCACTTAACCTTTTTCAATAGCCTTGCTGCTGTTGTACATTTCTTGTGAGTGGCCGGCCTGGCCGGACTACTTCTTTAGTGCCTTTGACAAATGAAACTTTCCCAAAAGGTACCCAGGCATGCAATAAGCCTCTATTAGAACCTAAATATTTGGGGTAGGACCTATTAGACTGATCCACCCTGTTTTGTTTGTTACCTTTCCTTAGCCAGCTGTTCATTCTCACAGTGCCTTTGTCTCGTGCAGTAGTCTTTCTCAGGGTCTAGCCTGAGGAAACTACTTGGTGGCTCTTGTTTGTACCACACAAATAGAATACTGTTTGTTCTAGAAATATAGTATGGAGGTTCTAGAAACTTACAGAAAGCCTTTTAACTGATTCCTGGTGGCTCCCCCTAAGATGGTAAAAGAGTCCTTGTGACCTTTTTCTTGAGGGGTGCAGAACTCATGCCTTGATGATGGGCATGATCCACTTTATCATTCCTATTCTTTTTTCTTTAGAGTGCAAGAGGAAAGGGGAGAGAAAAACATCAATTTGTTATTCCATTTATTTTATTCAGTCATTGGTTGATTCTTGTATGTGCCCTGGCTGGAGATCGAATCCACAATCTTGGAGTATTGGGACGATGCTCTAACCAACTGAGCTACCTGACCAGGGCCTACCATTCTTTTTCTTAATTTACCAAGGCAGGCCAATAGGTGCCTCCTAGCCTCAGCTCAAGAGGCCTTTTTGCATGCCAGGCTTCTGCTTTGAAAGAGCTCTTAAACATTTCTTCATCTCGTTACCTTTATTTTTTATTTTTTTAAGTAATTCATAGGTGTAGTAAAAATGTCAACTGTAACAAAAAAGTAGAAAATTAAAAACAACTGTTTTCTTTCCTATAAACTTGAGGTTATTTCTGTACTCTTACAATATATGAGAACATCAACAGCCCCACCCACCCAGCTATCACCCCCTACCCCCGTCAAAACAAAACTCAATATAAAGTAATGGGTAAGTATGGGGAAACTGGTGCAAGGTGTCCTGTGAGTCTAAAAAGTTTTCAGATTTATTTCCAGTACTGCTTTAGCTAAACAGGTGACTATATCAGTTGAATAATCTATTTTTTAAAAGTCCTATAGCCAATTAGAAATGAGCTTATTCATAAAAGTACAGTATAATCCAGTAAACCTGTAATTTTATGTATAAGCTAGTCTCTGATTGAAACATGCAACAAATGTTTAAAGTCTTAAAGCCAATCCAGGTGCAGCAGTTAGTTAGTTGCTCAGTGAGAGGTGGTCTCTGACCTGCCAGTTGTGCATTCCTGGTACTATGGAAAGAGCACAGGGAGCTCATAGCTCTGGACCTGTGAAAGTTAACCAATCAATGCCTTTCTACTGTTGACAGCTTGGGCTTTAACTCTGAAGCAGAGACATACAGTATAGTGAACATAGCCAGAGAAACTACCTTGCCACTCACCAGTTTCATTGTAAACAATGTTTCGGTGAAGTGCCACATGGTAGCATAATGGCTACATACATTATATATGAAAGTAGATCTATGTTATTCTTTAAAAGAATGCTATTTTTTAATGCTGTGTGCTGCTAAAAATATTTAAGTGTCAAATAAAAATTAAAGTGTCCCACTACCAGAAATAGCCAGTGTGTTAAACTAAGCTTTGTAAAGAAAACTCAGAAGATTCTCATGCATAGTGTGCCTCCTGGAAATCTCATCATATTGATTAAACAGTATTTGTTAATGTCGGCCTTGCTTTTCTCATAATCTTTTCAATGCTCGTATCATAAGATATTCTGCAGTGAAGCTGTCACTGATAATGTACACTGGTTTTTTTTCTCCTATACTTTGTTGCATCCACCTGGACAAAGTAGCAGTTGTGTTTACCTGTCTCATCAGTGTGGGTGTGAGTTGATATTTTTTACTAAACACTGGCAGCAAAAATCATTTAACCTTATTATTAAAGGGAAAGTAACTTTCATACTCACATGGGAAGGGACACTTCACAGTTTAGATTAGTTTGGAGAGAGTGTCAGGTTAAAAGACTAAAGAATATTTATTTGACTATGTGCATCCCAATGTGTTTTCCCCCGAAACAGTGCTCTGATTTGGTCTAAATCGTTTTTAGAATTGTTTTTATTGCTTGCTTTGTTAAAATGGGTATTGTGCAACTCAGTTTCTGAACTGGGTTTTAAATAACTTGATCTATTTCCAAAATCCTTGCCACCTTAAAGAACAAGAGAAGTACCACCATTACAGATAGAGTTGATCTCCATATATGCAGTAGTTAGGTTCTATAGAATCAACAAGAGTACCGAATTAACAAATACTGATCTTCTTCTAGGGGAAATAACAAGGTCAGGCTCCTTTGAGCCTCTGATCACAGCATTTTGTCAGCAGCTGTAGGCATAAACTTGCTTTATGTGTGTTTCTATTTAAAGATACTTAATTTTCTATATATTGTTGATTCATTAATATTGAACTTGCCAGCAGCACTATAACTCCCTGAATGAAGCTTATCTAGCGTGTATTTTCTCCCTAAGACACATCACAGCCTTCTTATGCTTAGAAACACTAGACAGCTCTTCAGCACTATTTGGGGGCCATTTTAAACAAAAATTACCAACAAAAAACACAAGAGCAAAAAAAACTGCATTAAATAGGTCGTGAAAAGAATCTCTTTACAGTATGAGCTGAAACAAGGCAGTTATCTTGTTCCACCTCAACTGAGAACACTCGAGTCAGGTGACTAAAATCTTTCACTGCTGTTTGCATGTCTAAATGGCAGCGAAGACACCGCAAGTATTGATTTGGGGGTTACAGGTAAATTTAGCAAGTAGATGAATTTGCAAATACAAAATCTATTAAAACGGGGATCGAGAATATAGAAGAATGTGTCAGGCTCAGGATTCTTCTCAGCGATGCATTCCTATAAAGCTTTGAGCAATGGCACCATCCTTAGAGTGAGTAAAAGTAGTCACCTTTGGGAGCTTTAACAAAGGGGGCAAGCGCATTCGTTCAATTACAATCTTATTAGCTATATTTTTACTGGAAATTAACTCTGATTTCAATGGGCCATACTCTTAAAAGTTTAATTAGTTTAAAGTCCAATAACTGAAGGACTTTTACTTAAATACAAAACTAAATAAAACCTTAAAGTCCATTGAGAAAATACTGTTTCTTCTACACACTGATGAGAATTGTAACTGATTCTTAACATTTGTAAATGAGCTGCATTTACTTACGTTGCTAATTGTGTTAGCAGATACACAAATGAATGAGGGAAACCCCTTTGCAAGTACAGCAGAGGTGAGGTACAGGTTGGGTGTGAGGTGCTCTGCTCTTCAGCGTTGCCCCCCTTAGGGAGTGGGCCTTACTCGGATAACTGCTTTGTTTACCACACAGGTGCTTTGCTTTTAGAATGATCCACCCTGAAACGCAGCAGGAACAGGAAAATGGGGAGTGTCACCCAGAGGTGACTTCGTATTTTTGTTTTGTCTTTGTCTTTTTATTTTTCCTTGTTATTTTGCATTCTAAATTGTCACTTCTAAATTTCAGGTGTATCTTTTTAATAACTGTATAGATTTATAGTAGAAAACAGAATAAAATGTGCCTTGTGGATTTTCATATTGTTTTAAGTCGTATTAGAATATAGTCTCATATGGTGTTTTCCATTTTTCCTGCAGGCTAAGAATTTAAACAGCTTATTTTATTTTTCTCTCCCAAGATTCTTTTTTATTTAAAAAGTCTGTTTGCATTGAAATTATCAAACAGTTTCACATTTGGACTCATTTTCAACGCATTATACTTTGGAAAAACTTCAGATGCTGGACAAACTAAAGAACTTATATTTTAAAATCAGAAACAATTTATTCAATCTGTGTAGTCAGCTTTGAGACAGTAGTTTCAAAAGTAATGAGTGTCATCTTTCTCCTCAGGCTTCAGGGACGACTTCTTAGGAGGCAGGGGCGGGAGTCGCCCCAGTGATCGGCGAACAGGCCCCCCAATGGGGAGTCGTTTCAGAGATGGTCCTCCCCTACGAGGGCCCAATATGGATTTCAGAGAACCAACAGAAGGTATGGCGACAACTTGTAAATGGAGGGTACCTCTTCATGATATTTTGTACCTCATAGACATTTGCCTTCTTAAGCCATGCAGTGGCTGTAGACCCACCCTTGGTCTTAAATAGTAAGTTTATCTTTATTGTGTATCTAGGAATGGAATAGTTCTTCAAGGCTGTTAATTTTTAGAAATTGGGCTGGGATGTAGAGGTCATTTAACCGATGGGGAATGGGATCCGTTCTTTATAAACTTCGTTTTTCCCTCCCAGAGGAAAGAGCACAGAGACCACGGCTCCAGCTTAAACCTCGAACAGTTGCAACACCCCTCAACCAAGTAGCCAATCCCAACTCTGCTATCTTCGGGGGAGCCCGGCCCAGAGAGGAAGTTGTTCACAAGGAGCAAGAATGAGCTGGCGGTTGGGAGGGAATGGGGTACAGGGGCAGTTAGAGCAAGCCCGAAGCCTGGCAGCCCCCTGGACCGGCAGTCCTGCAGTTACCATTCCTGCGCCTGACCTTTGTCCTCCTTTCTTACAAAGGAAACACAGAGCTTGTGAGTGCATGTCAGCAGTTAACAAGTGGTTTTTAGTACATTCTTGGCTTTGCTGTATCTAGTGCCTGTTTCGTGCTTTTTTTTTTTTTTCTGCCACTCCTTTCCCCATTTCCTTCTGTCCTTTTTCCTTCTTGTTCCTTGTTTCCTTCCAGCACATGAGTCTCTAAAGGGACAAAAGGCAGCCACCATGTGGGGAGCTCTTCGAATTGAGGTGCTGCTTCATTTTTCTCCTCCGCTTTCTCTTTTTACTTTAAACACACTGGCCAGACTCCAGTCACTTCCTTTGATTTCATTTTTTTTTTAGTGCTTCTCTTCCGACCTGCATGTTGAGTTCTGTATTTCTGTGGCTTTCACATACACATACACATACACATACACATACACATACACATACACATACACATACACAAAACGAAAATAAATAACAGAAAAGAAGTCACAAATTGGATAGCATCTTGTTTTTATTCAGCTTTGATCAACATACAGATTTTGAAACACCTTGTTTTCAAAACAAGGATAAAATGTCTGTTGATTCTTGCAGATTTCCTCCCATCCTGTTTATAGGTAGTCCTGTCTCTATGGCCCCTTCCCTAGATGGATTATTTGAATAGGTTCCAATTTTAAACAGTGAAACCTAAAGGATAGTGTGAGATGTTAGTAGGGAGTTTACACGGGAGGATCAGTTGAATGCACTACTGTGTTCACATGTTTTACTGCTTTTTCAACACTGTCCAAACTGGTTCCCTCCTTCACCAGCTGTACGAGAGGCTCCTCTGTCTGGCTGAATGTACCGAACTGCCTGCTGCTGGTTTCCTTTCTACTGGGCACAGGTGCTTTGGGGGTCTAAAGGGTAGGGGTGGGGGGGTGGTAGAGCTGTGCTGGGCTCGCTTTATAGTGTGAACATTGCTTTTTCCAAATCCCTGTTATCTGTGTATTCTGCATCTCTCCCTTGCATTTATCTGTTTCCTAGTTTAACAATGAGATACTGTGCTTCCCACCATCCTTTACTTTTATAATGAAAATTAAAATGGGCCTAGAATCTGGCACTTTACTCTGTTTCACTTGATGAATTGAGAATTTTACTATATATAGCTATCAAGAACCTTAAAATAATTGGTAGGTGGCTGTGAGTTACTAGGTTTCATCTTTAGGACAAAGTTCATTGTTCCCACATACAGTATTCAGCATTTACCCAGGGCTAGGGGTCTAGGCAATAGCTTTTGAGCTTGAACACCCATGTGTGGACAAATCAAATTCATCAGCACCTGAGTCCCACTCGTTTTATTGGGAGAAATTCGGGGTCAGCCAGCAGCTAGAGCGGTAGAGAAAAAAGGCCCTCGCCAGCGTGCAGGAGGGCTGAGGGGAATCCTGGCCTTAGCTCAGAGTGCTCAGATAGTAGTTAGTCCCTAGCTGGTGTCCTTGACGTCTACTCTGTCTTTGTGACAAGGTCTCAGCCGTTTGCAGAACTCTCCCTTCTTTCCTTCCACCTGTCATCTTTGCTTCTGAAATAAGAACCATTTGTGTAACACCAATACTTAACTTAAGAAAGACATGCATTATGTGGTTGTAACCAAACCTGATGCTTTCAGATGACCTACTTATATCTTCAATGTGGAAAAGATTAAGAACAAAACAAATTCATCTACACTTCTGGGCAATCCAGTTGACTTTTAAATGTAAGAATGGAATTCCAAACACTTAACACATTCAACTATATGACAGAAAGTAAATCTATGGATATGGTATTTTGTGAATGATCTTTTAAATAAAAGAAAACCTTACGTAATATTTAATGCTTGTCTTTATTTTGAGTTATTTTTAGCTGCTCATAAAATTAACCATTTTTAATTTGGGAAGCAGTATCCAAATTTAGTAGAATACTGTAATTTAAGAGAGAAAAGCTGCTTACGTTTGGAAGTTACAGGATTCGTGAAATTATCTTAAGAAGAACTAATGATTAGCAATAGGATGCCAGATCCACCCCGTGCATGCGCCGCCCCCCCCCCCACCCCGCCATTTTCTAAAAATGTAATTTTCCTAACAGATAGGAACCTGGTGTGGCTGTAGTTTTTCCCAATATGGAGAAATCAAATAATTTGCACAGTGTGCACTTGCTTTTTCTTTTTTTTTTCCATTTGTTTTTTACACCTGCCTTTTTTTAAATGCTTGTTTTTAGAAGAAATTGTAGGTACTCTTTATGACAGTGATGGGTGCTACTCCATAACAAGCAGATCATGTTTTGGGAAGAACTGCTGTGTAGTTTGATGGTTTTATGACTCAGTGGTCTAGGTACAGGGCTTTGAGCTGTTTCGGAGGCCAGGCTGGCACTGGAGAGTGATGGTAGAGGACCTGGCCCGATGCAGTTTGCTTGCCTAAAGGTGAGAACCTTGATGGCTGCTTGACCTGGAGAAAGAAGGTGGGGGCAGTAGGAGCTGTTCTGGTGAGTGCATGAGGGACTGTTTATTTCAGCTGCTGCCCAGCCAAGAACATGGAGGAAAGGACTTGCTACCTACTGGTGTTTCCTTTCAGGGGGAGACCCGTCTCCTAGGGGGATTTATTAATGGCCAGAGGCTTGAACTCCAACTCTGTGAGGCCTCTTTCCAAAGGTGCTGTTAGATTCCATCTTTGAAGGACCTGTGGGATGTTCAAACCTTTGGAAGAGTCAGCTAGGCTTCCCAGGAATTCAGAGGTTTTTTTAAAAAAAAATTGTTCTTGGGGTACACCCCTACCGGAGATCAAACCCACAACCCAGGTATGTGCCCTGGCCGGGAATCAAACCGGCGACCCTTTGGTGCACAGAACACAACCAACTGAGCCACACTGGCCAGAGCCAGAGGTTTCTTTATAGTTGAAATGAAACTCCTGTGCAGCTGTCTTCCTGCCTCCCCCCTTCTATTGCTATAACTTGACAGCGGTTGCTTCTCATAAGCACCTCTGCAGTATGTAATAGTTCTGTAATATTAAATACTACAGAAAGCATTTTAGTATCTGTAAGTTAACTGGAAGAGAGAAGGGTACATCTTTCCCCAAAGAAGCACCTATATAAATAGGCTCTGTTTCATAAATATTTGCACCTACTATGTGAATATTCCAGAGATAGGTTTAAGACAGGTGATGCCTGATTCCTCTGTGCTATTGAGCTGGCTTCCGAGAAACAAAATTTAATGAAATTACAAATGGGAGTCCCTTTATTATCCATAGGTTTCAGGTTTCTACGAATGTTCTTAAATTTTGTCGGAGGCCTGTTTGGTGCAGCGTTGGTTTAGTGGTGAGCATAGCTGCCTTCCAGCGGCCAGATTGCTTCTCCAGGTCCTGGGAAAGGAATTGTGGTCACAGCAGACTCCAAAAGCCTGGGTTTCCTTTCATGACTCACATGTCTTCTTCAGGGAGGGCTTAGGGAGCAGAAGGCATAAAGAAGGAAGAAGTTGGAAGTGGATATTTGGGGAAAGGAGGGAGGTGTTGCAATTGTACCTACTGTCCACTTTCAGTTTGTGATTTTTAAGGAATAGCCTGGTTTTCTCAGTGAAGGAGATTACTTGGTAGAGATTAAGTCTAGAACCAAAAGAGCTAATTAATGTCAATTTGTAAAGCCACTCTGGCTTGAGACTCAGTAGAAACAGCATTTATTTTATTTTATTTATTTTTTTTTATTTCAGAGAGAGGGGGAGAGAGAAACATCAATGATGAGGGAGAATCATTCATCAACTGCCTCTTGCACACCCCACACGGGACCGAGCCTGGGCATGTGCCCTGACCAGGAATTAAACCATGACTTTCTGGTTCATAGGTTGATGCTCAACCACTAAGCCATGCTGGCTGGGCGTGGAAACAGCATTTCTTTGCAGTGTGAGGAGACTGGTTTTTAAACAGCCTTATAATCTGCTCTTTTCACAAGTTGTACTTTAGGCACACTTTTGTTCTCTCCCCTCAGTCTTCAAATTCCATTGGTTGTTGAGGTCATGCAGAGTCACTGCCACTGACAAGGTTCACGCTGGACTGTCAGCTGCAGTCGGACCTGACAGGGCCCAGTGTAGTCCATGAAGCTGGATGGGGTGGGCAGCCCGTTTTCTGTTCAGCTGCTTGCTGTCTGCCCAGTGGGACTTCCCACTAGTGCTCTTTCAGGAAAATGGGGAGGAGAGGACAGGATGTCGCATCTCAGACTTTTTAAAGGGGCTTTAGTACAGGACAGCAGTCCATGCTGTGTGTCGCAGGTGGCTATCGCCTGGGCTCCTCATGCATACGAGTGGCTGGCCTGGGTCTGGCCACGTGTGGCCTTTTTGGGTGAGGAGCTTTGCTCTTTTTCATATTTTCTTGGCCAATGTTTTACATCATTGAGATGATGAGTTACTTTCTCATTAGTGTGAGGTTAACAGGCTTATAAGCATACCTGGTATCTTAAAGTCTTTTTGCAAGTTTTTTGTCATGAAAATAAATCAAAATGATGAAGACTATGTACTTAATTGTAACCTACTAATCTCTCCCCCACCTGTAACCACCCTCTAACTGTAAAATAGTAAATATACAAATAAAGCAAACTATTTCACAGCAGCAGGCTCTTTGGTATTCATTTTGGACACTAGGGAGAATTTGTTTCTTATATCTGTTCTGTTCATTGCAGGGGACAAGGTAAATGTTAAAATCATTACTGGCCTAGGCCTAGCCGGTTGCTCGGTGGTTAGAGCATCAGCCTGTGGACTGAAGGCTCTCGGGTTCAGTTCTAGTTAAGGGCATGCAGGCTTGATCCCTGGCGCGGGTCAGGGCTCATGTGGGAGGGAACCAGTCCATGTTTCTCACATCAACGTTCCTATCCCCCTCCCTTCTACTTTCTCTAAAAATCAATGGAGAAAACATCCTTGGGTGAGGATTAATAAACAAAAATCATTACTGGCTGAGAAGCTTATCCTAAACGGATTAGGAGGGAGGAAATCAGAGAAGCTTTTTTTTTTTAATAACTTGAATTGTAATGGCACCATCAATTTTTAAAATACATTTTTATTGATTTCAGAAAAGAAAGGAGGGGGAAATAGAAATAGAAATATCAATGATGAGAGAATCATTGACTGGCTACCTCCTGCATGACCCCCATTGGAAATGGAGCCCACAACTGGGCATGTGCTCTGACCCGGAATTGAACTGCAACCTCCTGATTCATAGGTTGATGCTCAACCACAGCCATGCTGGCTGGGCCAGAGAAGCTTTTTAAATAGCCCAGAGTTTCTGTAAATAGCACCAAGATTCCTTGGAATTGGTAGAATTCTTTTTCACATACATTATACTCTTGAAATTAAAAATGTACTCATTAAGTCCTAGCCAGTTTTGCTCAGTGGATAGAGCATCGGCTTGCAGACTGGAGGGTCCCGGGTTCAATTCTGGTCAAGGGCACATGCCCAGGTAGCAGGCTCGATTCTCACTAGGGGTCATGCAGGAGGCAGCTGATCAGTGATTCTCATCAGTGTTTCTTTCCCTCTCCAAAATCAATAAAAATATTTTTTTACAAAGAATATACTCATTAGATTTTTTTAAAGTACTTTATCAAAACAAAAAAGGAAAAGGCATGTAAGTAAAATGATGAAGGACATATGAAGAATTCCAGCAAATTGGTAAAAGGCAACCCAATAGGAAACTAAGCAAGATATGATATGTTATTTCACAGAAGAGGAAATAATGGCCTCCAAATGATGTTCAACTCATTTGCAATCAAGGAATTTTAAATCAAGACTAAAGAAATAAAATGCTATTTTACACCCATTTAAATGGCAAGTCAGGAAGCCTGATAAACCAGTCGCTGGAGAGTTTGTGGGTCTCTTCTCCCTTACAGATGAGTATAAACGGGTGTAGCCGCTTTGGGAATGAACTTGAACATTAAATGTTCCCATACTCCATACCCAGTGCTTCCCCTCCAGGTATATATCCAAGAGAACATTCATAGCGGCAAAACCTCTATTTAGATAATGGAATGTTGTACAGAAGTCTCCTTAAAGGAATGAATGGTAGCCACTTGCAGCAACATGGATGAGCCACGGTCATGGTAACAAAGTTTGTCCCAAATGCTTACAGACAGAATGACACTTATATGTAAGAGGAACTTTAGAAATAACATGACAAAACCAGTTTGTATAAAGGTATTTAGGTAGGGTGAGGCAGAAGAATGGAATGTTCTAGGTCCCATTGGGTAGTGAGTTAATTATCAGAGAGAAATGACAGGATCAGGGGTGGGAGTAATGCTCATTTGTACCTTGGGAGTTGGGGGTGGCAAGACAACTTCATGGTGGGCTCCAGGGCCTTCTAGGATGTTGTATGTGCTGCTTTTTTTTTTTTTTAAATATATTTTATTGATTTTTTACAGAGACAAATGGAGTGGGATAGAGTTAGAAACATCGATGAGAGAGAAGCATTGATCAGCTGCCTCCTGCACACCCCCTACTGGGGATGTGCCTGCAACCAAGGTACATGCCCTTGACCGGAATCAAACCTGGGACCCTTGAGTCCGCAGGCTGACGCTCTATCCAGTGAGCCAAACTGGCCAGGGCTGTATGTACTTCTTAAGATACATTTTTTCTGACGAAAATCCATAGCTTTCCATTCACTTTTAGGATATGTGTGACCCCAGGATATTCACATCCTTAGACTGTTTAGAGTCCTTAGAGCTGTTGCATTACTACCTAGGCATTTTGCTTCTATAACAAGTGTGCACGCAACTGAATCAGCGGTGAACTGGAAAGCTAAATAGCCCTGTTTGGAGTGATGAAAAAGTTTTGGGAATAGTTATGGTTGTACAATATTTTGAGTATAATTAATGCCACTGACTCGCACAGTTAAAATGGTAAATTTTATGTTATATACTAGAGACCCGATGCACGAAATTCATGCAAGAGTAGGCCTTCCTTCCCCCGGCTGCTGGCACCAGCTTCCCTCTGGCACCTGGGACCCGGGCTTCTCTCTGGCCGCCAGCAGGCACCCGGGACCCGGGCTTCCCTCGCAGCCCCGGCTTTGTCCAGAAGGTCGTCTGGTCTAATTAGCATATTATACTTTTATTATTATAGAAGATGAATAGCAAAAAAGGGGTAAGTATGAACTTAAATTTTTTTTAAGATTCTTTGTGCATCTATGCATGAAGCTGCCCTGCTTATAAAATGAATTATTAGGCACTTCAATATTTAGGCAAGACAAGGCAATAAAGGATCATACCTCATTTCTAGCTTTTGGACGATCAAAAAGAATTTTCAGTGCAAACCGTTCTTGGGTAGAATTCTTCACACAGACTCTAGATTTGGAGAAAAAATTCAATCAGAAATCATCGATGTTACAGTGAAAACTAACTTAGCAGGTTTGTTCTTTGGGAATTGTACTTCTAATCAAGACTCTATCCAGGTGCACCAGAACAAACTGGCCCCCAAGCCCAGCAGGCGGAAAGGCAGAGCAGGATCTCATCCACTCTTCCTCAGCCTCAGCTCCTAAGCCAGGTGATGCCAACGTGAGGCCTCTGCTGGCCACAGGTGACTGGCTCTCAGTGGCTCCACAGGATCAACATCTTCAATGATTCCATGTCACAGAACATGTAACTTGGTCACTTAAGTATATTTCTAATAAATGAGAAATAGCCTAACTTATTTAAACACCTCTACTTGTTAAATTCTGT